TATATATATATATTATATTATATATATTGTATATATTATATATAAAATATATATTATATATATTATATACATTATATATTATATAATATATATTTAATTTGGGTGAGAGGCCTTATGTTTATGCTGTCTCTCTGTCTGTAAATTTTCTTCGTTCAATCTCTGCACAAAACCCTGCATTGATAAAAATAAATAAATAAAATAAATAAACAAATTAAATAAATAAATAAATAAATATAAATATAATAATTTGTCGTTTATTAGTAAAATAATATGCTTCTTAAACTCAGGTGTATAGGCTCCTCGATGATGGTGTGCGGTGTATCGGCAGCTCTCCTCGAATACACGCAGCAGAAAGGCTTCTTTTTGAGCAATTAATATCGTTATTAAAATTAAAACAATTAAATAATTAAAATAGAATTACAAACAAATGCAATAATATTCAAAGAAAGACAAAAAATAAGAAAAATATAGAGGCCCCACAGCCCCGCCCTGCAGCAGCAGCAGCAGTAGCATCAACAGCAGCAACAGCAGCAACAGCAGCAGCAGCACGAGTTTGTGTCTCTAGACACTTAAAAGGGTTTCTTTTTGCTGGTTTAAATAGAGTGTATTTATTTATCTGCGGTTTATTAAAAGGAGACAGACATATACGCCTCTCTCTTATAGTCTTCATCACTGTCTCTGCTGCTGCAGCAAGATATACTTCAAGTCCTTTTCAGCAGCACAAACAAACTCTGAAAACTCTATTTGTCTCCTTCTGTCTCCCTTCTTCTCCTTTTGTCTCTACACCCTGCGGTAGTGCCGCTGCAGACAGCAGCAAACCAAAGCGCAGCAGCAGCAGCAGCAGCAACAACAACAACAGCAACGAGAACAGCAGCAATAGCATAGGCAGGAGGAGCAGCAGCCGCAGCGAAAACAACAGCAGCAGGAGCAACAGCAATAGTAACAGCAGCAGCATCAACAGCAGCAGCAGCAGCAACAACAACAGCAGCAGCAGCATTAAGAGGAGTATCAGCGTTATGAAGATGCGGGGTATAGGTGTAAGGACATCTTCGTTTTTGTTTATAAGTATAATAATATTTAATTTATTTTGTTTGTCTTCGTCTTCTATCCTCGACAGCCTCAGAGGAGACAGCAGCCGGGCTGCAGTGCAGCAAGAAGCAGAAGTAGCTCGCTGCGTGTTCCTTGCCCGCAGCAGCAGCAGCAGCAGCAGCAGCAACAACAGCAGCAACAGCAGCAGCAGCAGCAGCATGGAGACAACAGTTTTATCGCAATTTTTTATACCTGTCGCAGATAAAGAGATGTATGAAGAGGGACTAAAAGAGTACCTTCAGCAATTAGGAGAGACAAACCAGAAGGGTTTGACTTTATCTGTTGCATGCATGCAGCAGAAAGCAGATGTAGATTTTGTTTGTTCTCTTTGTATATACACTGAAGCAGCAAGAGATAAAACACATATTAGGCACGGACAGACAGTCTACGCGTCGCTGCAGCAGTGCATGCACGGGGCTTTCGGGGCTTTCAAGAGAGTTTCTTCTTCTTTATATCATCCTATCTGTTATGCTGATGAGAGTACGACTACTACTACTAGCAGCAGCAGCAGCAGCAGCAGCAACAGCAGCAGCAGCAGCAGCAGCAGCAAGCTCCTCCTGCAGCAGCAGCAGCAACTCGTTGGACCCCATGGGGTAGATGGTGCATGCCCTAATTAAACAGCTGCAGCAGCAACAGCAGCAGCTGCTGCAGAAATAGTAGCAGCTGCAGCAGCAACAGCAGCAGAAGCAGCAGCTGCTCTCTGCTGCGTATATATTTTCGTATTAGAGTTTCTTAAGAGACAGCAGATAGGAAGGAGCTGTCTCCTTCTGCTGTCTCCTTTTGCTGCGGTGTATGCGCACTGCAACACCAACACCCGTATTGCTACTGCAGCAGCAGCAACAGCAGCAGCGGCAGCAGCTACAGCAGCAGCAGCTACAGCAGCAGCACCAGCAACTACACCAGCATCCAGCTACAGCAGCAGCAGTAGCTACAGCAGCAGCAGCAGCAGCTACAGCTGCAGCTGCTGCTGGTGTTGCTGCTGTAAGGGCTGATGTGGTGTATACTGCATTAATTGTTTTGTTTGTTTTGCTGCTGCTGCTGCTGCTGCAGCAAATACCGATGATATAAACAAAAAGCAAAAACATATTTTTAGGATAAGGCTGAGATAAATAAAAAAATATAAAAAAGAAGAGTTCTCGTTACAGACAGAAAGCAGATAGCAGCAGCAGCAGCAGCAGCAGCAGCAGCAGTAACAGCAGCAGCATTTAGAGACAGTTGATGTTTCTGCTTAAGGGAGACAAAAAGAAGAGACACAAAGGAGACAGTCTAATTAGTACATATATAATATGTATATATATAATATATATAATGTATATGTAATATATATATAGTATATATATATAATATATATATTATATATATTATATATAATGTATATGTAATATATATATATAATATATATAATATATATATGTGTATATATTATATGTGTATGTATATATGTATGCATTTAATTATTGTATATTCTACCCATACGTATTCTTATAATTATAATTATATAATATATATAATATATATATATAAACTACTATATATATATATATATATTGTGTATATTATATGTTATATATATTACATAAAATATATATTATATAATATATATATATATATCTATATACACTTAAATATAAAAGTAGAAATGCTATG